CATCCAAAAATTAGAACACCTTTTTAATTATAATAATAAAATTTTCATTTGAAAAAAGGGAAAAAATATAAATTTAAATCTTTACCTCTTTCTTGGAGCAGAAGACAAAAATTTCATCGCGGTGCTCACCGTTAGGTTCAATTTCGTGGAAAGTGCAGAAAATTTCTGGGGGGAAAAGTGGCTCCCTGGAGTCGCAACGGATCAGAGGAGCGGTGGAATGCTCTGCTCTCGATTGCAACGCGGAGGAAAATGAAATTTCCAGCTATTATCGCCGAAGAAAATGAGGCCTTTCGCGTTAGTTAGGCTGGCGCGGGGAGCAGAGATGAAAATCCACAATTGAACACTCTCTAGCTCGGCGGGCAATTTGAATAATAAAAAGGCGAATGTGCGGCGAACAAGAAGAGCTCTTGTCACTGCTTGTTCTATTAACTTGATCAGCCAAGTGTTATAATGGTCGGTGGTGGGCAGGGCCGCCGGGGCTTCTTATCTCGGCCTCGCAGCGACTCTAATATTCCTCCTGCTTTTCTCGCAGGGAACAAACGTGTCACTGCCCGCGCCTCAAAACGCTTAATCTAAATCATGTTCAATGACGCGGGATCAATTCATCCTGGTCTCTCTCTCGGCTTTCTTCCTCTTCTCCTGCCTGCATAATGAGAGCAGAGACTCCTCACGCCACACAAAGGAAATTTCCGCAAAATTTTCCAACCTGCGTCGCACTTCGGATTAATTTCTCTGGCTGATTGCAAAGTGGTCCTGCAAGAGATCAACTCGATCCCTCTCGTTTGAGCTTTAAACGATGAAATTTGAGCAAGTCCTGCAGGCACGTCTGCTGACTCTTTTGTGGAGACGCCAAAGTTTTGCGAAAAGGAAACTATGTGACAGACCCGAGCAGCGAGTTTTAATAAAAAGAGCGCAGACTGCAAAATAATGATCATATCCGTGCCTTGCGGAGTTGCTTCTTCTTCAGTTTTGCGTAGATAAAGTAGTTTTTTTTTTGCAAGTTCCTTCTTGGAAATTTCAAGCTAATTAAATTGTATGTAACTTTTTATTTCATTTATGAAAAAACTTTCTAATGAGGTGAAATTCAAAAATTATTATTAAATTAATTTTCTACGTATCATGAAGGATCTACAGTATAAAAAAATTAATCGAGTCCAATTAATAAATCAATTGTTCTCTCCCAAGAAAAGCTTTTCATAAAGAATTTGACGAGCAAAAACTCTAGCTGCTCTAAACTTAACAGTCGTTAATTTTTCAAAAATATTGTTGAACCACCATTTTATTAAAATCAGTTAAATTTTTATTGCGCAAACACGCAGAAGTGCAATGTTAATTCATAAAAAACTGCCAAAAACAATCACAGAGTTTAAAATATTATTTTGTGATTTTAATTTTGGGTAAATTAAAAAAAATTACATTAATTTTATTTCAAAAAATTCACTTGGCAGAATTATTATCGAATAGGACATTATAATATTCCAAATTATTGAAAGAAATAATTACATTTGCAGACAATTTTAATAGATAATTCGTTTTTTTTCTTATTCATTTGAATAACGTTAATTTTATAAATGGTTAATTTAATAGTAGCGTTTCATTGTAGAATTAAGCATAACTTTATTTAAAAATTTGCATAAATATGTGAGTAAATTTTACAAAGAGAGTATAAATTTATTATGAGTGAAATGACAGAATATGCGAAATCGCAGGGAGCCAATTTCACTTATCCAAAGTCGAAAGTGATCGAATTACAATCTCATGATTGGTTTCGCAAGCGCAGGCAAAAATCGACCCTCTTTTCTTCTCTCTTATGCTTTTGGCGAATGGAAATGAGGAGGAAACCGGCGGCGCGGCGAGGCGAGGGAAAACGCTGTTGCGAACAACAAAGGGATTCAATTTTCGCCACTCGGCTTGGCATTTGAGCTTCATCGGACACATGTACCGTTATTAGGGGGATAATATTTGCAGCGGCGCGAAAGAAGAAGAAGAAGCAGTTTCTGCGCGAACGCCCCTGCTGATGCGTGTTGTATATATTTTGAACGAGCTATAGAGGGTGGCGAGGAGACACCCCAGCCATCAGCCGTAAAAGAGCCTCCAAAGTGTCTCCGCGCAATGCTCCTAATAATTTACTTCGCGCCCTCTCCGCTCGCTTAGCACAACAAAGTAGAAAAAATTTATTTCCACCCTTTGCACTTTGCGTCGAGCCGGGCTGGGGCAGTGAAAAACAGCAGCACAACTTTATAAATTGTACGCAAAAGTTTTATTCTGAAAATAAAGTTAAACTTTTTTCTTCAAATTTCTATTACAAAAAAAGGTTTTCAGATCAATTCAATTTTGAGTAGAAAAAGCAGCTAATTTAAAGTAAAAAAATGAACAGATTTTGCTGCGAGAAATAGTAAAATATTAATGCTATGTGCAACAAAAATTATCATATTCAAAAATTTTGAACCATAGGAATCGCTGAAGATGTCAAAGTACCCAAAATTTCCATCTTAAGTGTCATCAATCCTATTAATGAAATGGAGTCAGAAAGCTTCTTCCCTCAAAGAAAACTAAAAAAAAAACGAATTAAGTAGAATGACTGTGTTGAAATTGAAATAATGTTTGTTTCATGTTAGACTTTTGTAGTTAATTGTTAATTTTGTGAGTTTTTTTTTAATTTGAAACAGCAAGTTTTGTTTTTCAGGAGATTATTTGATTTGATTGAAATGAAAATATTGTTTTCCATAAATTTCAAAGAAGATTTATTGCACTAAAAAAAATTAACAAAGTAAGTCAAATAGGATTTCACATTTTATTGATTATTTTAGTAATTTATTTTGTCATTTTTAATTGAATAATGTTTTCATAATAAACGTTTTGAAAGAAAGAGGATTTTTTTGTCACTGCCCTGTTAGTTTATGCAGAGCCTTTTTCACACTTGGCTCGCTTGTTCCCTAGGGTGGGATCGCGGGGCGACCTAATGAAATCATGATTTATCCGAGATTCCTCTTTTTCAGGCCGACACATAATTTATTTGCGCCGTGGCAGGAAGACATTTGTTTCTCGCCATCATAATTGCCAGCGAATTTTTCACTTCCTGCGCGCTCTCGTGATTTTGCATTCGCCGCTGCGCCACTGCATTCGGCTAATTTAGTGACGCACTTTACAAGCTTCCTTCCCCCGTCTTATATAAATTTGCTCCCTTTCTCTTTCTTTGTTTGGGCGCCGACGTAGAACTTTGCTGCGAAAGCGAATTAACCATTTTGTATTTGTCACAGCGAGAGAAAAAGGCCAAGTAGCGGAGGTCTGGTGGCAAATAGCGCCCATTTCCAATGAAATCCATTACCATTAATTACGCCAGCAGCCCCGTAAAAAGTAGCAGAGCGGAGACAGCTTAGCCGCGCGCCGGGCTCAAATTTACCGCCCCGAGAGAGGAAAGAAAGGAAGCAAATATATTTAATTCGCCCCGTAAAAAGCGCACTCGTCAAGCCTTGCCTCTTTTGCAGAGATAAAAAGAAAAGCGTTCTCGGTTCTCGTACCTGCCTGGGCCGAGTTACGATATAAAAAAAGTCCTCTTTGCATTGCTAAACAACGGCGTCTGGGGATTAGGCGGCGCTTGATTGCGCCGCAAAGGCAAAAGTATAAAAACTAACGCTGGGGCTCAACACAAACACAGAGCAATCGTTAAAAAGGTATTGCCGATGAATGAGATGCAGCTTTTTCATTTGAATGAATGCTTTTTGCACGGTCATTTCAAATGGAACAAAATGCATCAAACAAATCAGCAACTCTCTTTTTGCACAGCGATCATTGAGCTCTACTTTTATCCTCTAAACAGTTTAAATTGATTGATAATTCAGTCTTTTTGTCAAGTCTGTACAAAAAATTTGAAAATTTACAAAAGGCAAATAAAAAATACTCAGCCTTCAACAAATTGAAATTTGATAAAAAAAAGAAGAACTAATTTTAATGAGAAGTATTTGGACTATTTTTTTTTATAATCAGTTAAAATTAAATTAAGACATAAATTTCCATTCCAAAAATTGAGATTAAAAACTGTCAATATCATGATTTAGAGTGGGTGAATTTCTTGTCTCAAATTGAGCCGAAGCTAATTGCCCGTAATGAATATTCGTGACGTCAGAAGCCACTTTGAGATTTGCGACGTGACGCGCGCGGTGTCGCATGTCGCGGCGCGCAATTGTGAATAAAGATTGATCGTGTGCTCGAGATGCATTAGGGGTTTTCCTTCCTCCACCGGCGGCAATCTTAATTGCCTTTGCAAGGTGCTTATTAGTTAATTACCAAGTGCGTATCACACACGCTTTAATTAAGCGCGCGGTGATTTATCAGTGACTCGCATAACTTATAACAAGCGAGCGAGTCCTGATTTTGCACAGAGATATTCACGGAGAGGAAAACAAGATTAGCGCGCCTCACACAATGCAATATTCCTCGCACTCTTGTTTGTTGCTTTTTGCCAAAGACTTGTGAAGAACGCCAAGTTCTGGTCACTCTCTCTCGCAAAGTTGCGCCGCCTTTTGATGAGGAATTAATGCGGACGCTAAACTATATCGTCCGCGGTGATCGTTAAACAGGAGGGCAGACTGCGCGTCTAACAAGGACGCTCGTGAAATATTTAAAGGGTTTCAGGGATGCTCTCTAAAAGTTTATTTCGGAATTTCAACCAAGATTAGATGTTAAATCCTAAGAAAAATATGAAATAAATTTTTCTACCCTCTTGACTTTAAAATATCAACTTAAACAAAAATTCATTTCATCATCTTAATGTACGATTTTGTTATTTCAACCATTGACGCTACTTGAACTAAATTGAAATGAAAATTTAAGTTTTTAACACTAATCTGATTTCATATTCTTTATAATTAAAGAATTAATTTATTGACGCTTCTACAACTTAAAGTTAAATTCACTTCAGCAAATTACATTTTTTTAAATTTTTTTTTAATATACGTGAAGGTTGAGAAATTAAATCGTTTTTTTTTTTAATGGCTAAGATTTTATTTTGATTCAAACCATGAAACCTATGTGGAAGAGTGCCGTGATTTTACTCCATAATTATCAATATAAAATTTCCAACGTGTTTTTTTTTTCATTTTTTTTTTCAATCAGAAATCAACTAGAATTAAAGAATTTATTTAACATTTTTTTTCTCATTGAAAGCAACATTTTACTTATTTAAAACAAAAAATAGTATTTAATTTTCAACATTAATAATAATAGTTTTCATAGTCAAATTTTCAACCTTTTCAACCGAACAAAAAGGTTGTCGATTCCAAGATTTCGGGATTGGAAAATTTTGGAAGGCAATAGAGGGGGAGGGGGCACAAATGTAAAATTGTTATACACAAAAGTGTAGAAAACTGGGCTGAAATTGGAAGCAGTCGTTTTTAATGTGGAGTATTGCAACGTTCGTCTTCCGAGTCTGAATCCGACTTGTACTTGGCAGTGTACTCGACTAGATAGCTGGGATAAACCTGGTGAGGAAATTTATTAATTTTTTTATTCTAAAACTTGAAAATTTCTTTTCAATACCTGAGCATCATTGTAAATTATGTACTCGGGACGCAACAGAAATCCGCCGTGTGGAATTGCTTTGACCGAATGATATCCGGCAGGAAGATTTTTCACAGTCGACTTGGTCTCGTAAATTTTCCCCAGCGCGACTTTGCAGATCAGAATTCTTCTGATGCAAATCTCGCATTCCTTGTCGTCGTGAGCGTCGCAGGGTTTGAAGCAACCGAAGGTGTAGTTGTTACTTTTGGACGAGTGTTCCGCAAAATAAACACCTGCATTTTATTTTAGAATTATAAGATAAACCAGCAGTTGAGTAATTAATAACTCGCAACAATTCTATCTTATATGGACTGGTTTTATCTATTCAATCGTAAGAGATGCAAAATAAAAATTTATTATGTCGCTGGAAAAATAAAAATTAGGCAATCAAAGATTTTTAAAGTAGGCAACCGAAGCCAATTCTTGGAGTTTTTGCAAATCTTTGGTCGCCTGGAAATTTTTACTTTTCCATCGCCTGATTCACTATTTTAACAAATATCTTACTTTTAGAATTGAATTCACAACACCATAGAAGAACCAATAATGTTATAATGAATTACACATTTATGGTGAATTGAAAAAATATGACTTTTTATTTCACTCACCATCTCCAAACATGCCAGACTTTTTGGCAAAGCCGCGGTCAAAACCTTGAGTGGCGATCGTCATTGCTTGCGGTGAGCCGTGGAAGAGGCGCATTTCCTTGACCCACGCACCTCCCAAATCTTTGCTAATTTCCTCCCTCCTTTCTCTGTATCGCTCCCACGTGTACTTGTTCTTTATTCGGTAAACCTGCCAATAATCCATGATTAATTGCTCTTATTATTACGATTTTTTTCTTTACGCATTTAATGTCAAATCTCTCAATCTCATCGTGGCAAATCGTACTTTGTACTTGATCCTTAGCAAATTGATATCCGCCTCGTTTCGGCGATAACTTCTCTAGTTCGATGCCGTCAAACCATCTGCCAGGGGGCATTTCTCTATTAAAATTAAATAAATTTAGGATTTTAATCGATAATAAATGAGTTTGTACAAATTTAAACAAAAGTAGAATGATTAAAATGTTCATTACATTTTTTTCATTTTAATAGAGTCAATTTATTTAAAAAAAAATAAAAATTTTCAAGAAAAAAATATTAATTAAAAATTTTCAAAATTAAAATAGGCAAAAATTCGTTATGCTGGTTAAAAAAAAAGCTTTGGAAGTTTTAGTACAATTGGAGGACATTCACTAAACAGATATCCTCGGCTAGCTATAATTATAACATGGTTAGCCCTGAAAGTAAAAAAAGAACAAGTCTTCTGATAATTTTTTTTCTATTTTACAATCATATTGCTTTAAAATTTGTGCATATAGAATATAAGGTATTGATTAAACGCACAATTAATTTGGAATGACTGTAAAATTATTAATTCAATTATTTTATTTTCAACTATTTCAATCAGTGATTGATCATGTAATAAATAATATAACACACTAGTACAAAAGTATTAATGAATAAAAAAATTTAAATTAACTGTGGATTTGTTGATTATTAAGAAGTCTTTGTTGACGGGAGGTTGTTTAAGTCGTTTGACTTCTAATAAAAAGTCCAACAGAAGTTATCAGCTCTTTTATATATTATCTCCTGATAAAAATCTCACGGACGGAAACTGAAAAAATGTTAAAACTGTTTTCAAAGTCTACACACACTTATTCATTATTCTGAAACATAAATAATGCTTAGTGCTATATTTAATGCAATCAAAGCATTTAATATATTTTGTTTTTAATAATAACATGCTCAGACCGTATTTTTTTTATTGCAAAAAATCTCTTGTGAAAATTTGTTAATTTTTTTTTTAAATAAACGGGCCAGAAAATTATTTATTTTTCTGCATATCTGATTGGAAATGTGTATAACTTTGCAGCAGAAGAAAGCTAAAACTGTTATTTATCTGTTAAGCGCATCTAATCAAACAATGATTTCACCAATGAGCGTAACACACATTTTAGATTAGACTTTTTTTGTCTTCGACTTTTTTTGTCAGGGTAAAAACCAATTCGACGGCGACTCACCAATTAAAATCTATAAAATAATTATTTATAAAACTGTATAAAACCATAATTAATTAATTATCGCACAACTTTGAAAAGGACATTAATTAGCGTAGGTCTTAGGAAAAATATTAAATTACATTTTATAAATTATTCCTAAATTTATTATTATTATTATTATCAATTTTTATAAATGCTCTTTCAGTAAAAAGTATTCTTTGCAACTGAAACTCTTAATAAAATTCAGGTTATGTATTTTTATAAATAAATTTAAATTAATAATTGACACAATTTCAAGCAAAATATTATGACAAAAGTACACAATTAATATTTTGAAAATATGTTGCTTAAATACCTTTTATGAAATGAAAATCTCAGATTGGTGTGGCTTCGGTCACGCACACTCGTAAATGTGTAGGAAGACGGTGGCTTGCGATTGCGTCGCTTCAGTTATATCAGCATCGAAAAGTCTAATTGAATGCAAAAAGTCTTTGACAGCGTGCAAGTCTAATTTAGACTCTCGCATCACTGAAGTCCAAAGCTACTCGTTCTTGGCAAAAGATTATTTGGCCAGTCACTCAAGTATCAAAGTCCACTTGTTAACAATTTATTGGTTCTATAAATATGATGAGGCTGATATTTATCATATTCCCATTCTCAAGTACTTTAACAAAAAAAGAAAATTATTTATGTCCACATGTTTATTATTTTGGTACGTAATAGTAAAATATTGATTCACTTCTTTATAATTAAGTACTTTTATACTTTTAAGCTGACGAATTGCCAATTATTTATCATAGAATATTTTATTGTTGTGTGCAATATTAAACCACGAAATTTATACGTTTTTTTTTTATTATTTTGCAAGAAATATAATATAAAGTTTGCAAGAAGTCGCAAAATGATGCAGCCTTGGTTGTTTTGAAGATTCGTCTGCTGAGGTTCAGGGCGTTCTTCCTGAGGTGGCACCTGCGACGCACCTTTGACTGCAGGGGCCCTCGGATGCCCCAGTAAGGTAGGCACCAGAGTCCCGTGGTTTTGCTGAATCCGTGACTTTTGTGCTGGGCGTCTGGAAAATTATAAAGACAGTGGGAAAGAAATAGAGGAATTTTTATAGACTTTTTTCACATTTCTGGCTGGTACTTGAATAAATTATCCTCTTCTCTATTCTAGAAGCGCGGTCTAAGACTTTTAATGTTGAAACAAGAAGGCTCAATATAACTTTTAACACTGCGTCCGCGGAAGAGGACTGCTGATGATAATATTTGGTGTTGACCATGTTATGTATGTCAGAGGTCAACGAAACTCTATATAACAATAAATTTTAATTTAAAACTCAATTTACTCTAATATAAAATTTTTAATTATATCAATTATAATTATAGTAAAATGAAATTACAAAATAAATAATATTTCACCCACATTAAATTAAAACAATTTCACAGAAAATTGCTGAATTTCCACTCCAAAGCTGTTAATTTCAGAACAGAGAGTTTACTGGAGTGCAAACAAAACATCATTAGCAACAACGAGGATGAGGAAAAATTGCGAAAATGTTGGCAAACTTGGTGTGTCGCTCTATTGTTTCCATTCGGTGCGCACTTTGCGGAGGAAACAAGTGCGGCGGAATTAAGTGCGGGCGCGCGCGAAGCAAGTCATTGTCGACATGAAAAAGCTGAAAAGCTGCAGGGCGCGGAGCTCATTAGAGGGGAGTATGTGTAGTGCCACTTTTATTACGCCCAAAACAATATAATAAGCGGACAAATGTGGCTGCGCGCATATAAATTACACTTGAAGCGAGCAGCGCAATTACACTAAGTAAGGGTTATGCAACAGACAGAAACCGACGCGGACCGACGCGGACCGACCCTCTCCATCAGATCAGGGCCAGAGCGAAAATAATGCAAATGCGCCGCCGACCAACTCGGCAAAAACAAACTCGCCCGCCCCACCAAGAGCACCCCAAAGTGAGATGAAATCGTTATGTATTGAGACTTGCTCTTTGCGCGCGTTGGTTTCTGGCCAAAAACAGAGCCAGGTCCTCTTCCACAAACACATTTTTTTTCCAATTTTCTAAATTGGAAATGCGATTTATTTAAGATAATAAATAATTAAGGGTTTTACCGGTTTTACAAAAATATTGTTGAAATTAATGTTTTCAAAAGCTATTTATTAATTTGGCTGCAAATAATTTTTATTGCAAAAATATTTGTATTGAATTTTTGAAACGGGTTTTGCTCAAACTAGGTGTAATTATATAAAAAAAGGAAGAAGCTTTTCAGTTTAGCAATACTTTAGTGCTTGAATTAAAAAAAAAAAAAATGAATTTTATTAAAATAGTTTTCTATCAATGCACCCGTTGATTTTTAATTTGAAGGCATTTTTTGCTCTATCTAGGAAGCATTTTTTAATTTTAGTACAGCCTCTGGGGCTTGAATAAAAAAAATATAAAATAAAAATATCAATTTGATTTAAAGTATTTTATTAATGCACCTTTTGATTTTTAATTATTTGGCAATTTTCGCTAAAACAAGACGTTATAAATAAAAAGGAGGAAGTTCTTGATTTACCTTTAATTTGCACAGTAGGTGTAGTTTAAGATTTGTAGAAGAAGCAATCATAAATAAAATGCAAACAAAAAATGTCTCACAAAGTTTTGAAATTTTCATTCCTGAATACAAAAATTTGAGTTCAAATTGTATTCATTTATTTTGTATCATATTCCTCCAATTCAACTAAAATTGGGTCCCATCACATTTTCTCCAAATACACAATTTCATTTTTCTCCTTCGCTATCCAAAGGCATTTTGGAAAATTGCAAAGCAGCACGTTCGTTGCAAACGCATATGTCGGGGGCGAAATGTTATCGAGATACGCATCGTCATCGACGTAGGCGAGCGAGCGAGCATATTATATTGGAAAGCCGGTGGGGAGATGGATAGGGAGGGTGAGCGCGCAGAGACAGATCAACATTTTGATAAAAGGGCTCAATTTTAGCGGCTTTTCATGCAGAGCGCCGAGGAAATGCGACCTCATTTCCCGGCGATTGAATTTCCATCAGCGCGCCGAATAAAATATTCGCACCGAATATGAATGGCGGCGGCGGCGACGGCGGCGGTGTTATCTTCGACACCTTCTGCGGACAGGGATTTACGCGCGCAATTATTTGCATGCCATATAATGAGAGGGAGAGAGAGAAAGGCCTGGCAATCCGCAGCTGGGTCGGTTCCTGCCTGGAGATAAGTGCGGCATGAACCGAGCTGCTCGCCCGTCTAATGTAGAATGATGCGAATGTGCAGGTTTCGTCAGCAGCTATTCAAACTAAAAAGCAACTCACGTGGATTCATTAAAAAAAAATTTAAGTTTTTACGCTAACAAGGACAAGTTTGAAAACTTCCAAATAAAGAACTTCGTATTGGGTTTCCTAATTATTGATTGCGGTTTGGAATTTTTACAGAGTCTTTTTTCAAGATAATATGATATTTAGCAATCTTTTTGAATAAAGACAAATTCAGATGACCGGGTTGGGTCTTTAAGATCAAATTTACATAAAAAGTAGAGGTTAATTCAATACAATATTTCTGTCAACCCTTTAGCTGAAAAACGTCCAGATTAATTTTTTGAATAATTTTGATATAAAAAATCATAATTAACAGTGATTCAGGTACGTCTTTGGTGGCAGAAAATGATCTCCCTATTAGATTTGCAGCATGAAGAATATCTTGTGCAAACACTTGTGGGGGCCGAGTGGATAAACCGACCGACAGACACCTCGGCGGAAACCTCGTTCCTCTTCCTTCCGGCGGCGCGATTTAACGAGAGAATCAATTAAGCCCGTCAATTCGGGGGTGGCGAAGAGGTGATTTGACCCTCGGAGAAAGATGGCGGCCCCATTTCGGTTTCCTCTCTGGCTGGAACGCGATTATTTGCCATTACGCGTGACTGTAGCTTCCACTTAAAGTAATTCAATGTGTCTAGCAAGGCCGAGTTTGGACGCGGCCGGGCCGATGTGGGCCAAACAAAACTTTTTGCCCTTTCCCTTGTCGGCGGCAAATAAATTTTGGCCAAGTGTAATAATTTTTGACAAGTGTCACTAAATCCAATTGCTTTCTCGACCCTTTCCGAGGCCATTTGCTTGCCGAGGGCGTGGTTTTCTTTTTTCATTCCAAAGTTTCGCAAAAAAGTTCGGCTTTTCACAGCGCGCACGGTGATTTTTCTCGTGTTTACTCGACGGAGGCAAATAAATAGCTGCGGGCGAGTTTTTAGTTTGAGAATTTCAAAGGCTTTTCTATTCTATTGAACGCAGGCAACCGAAGAAACACACTTTTGTACTAACGGTTGCATACTTTCGGATTTGGCAGGCGCGTCTAAATTTGGGAAATTGATCGATTTTGTATATCAACGTGAGTTGCCTTAGTAAAATATTCAACCCCCTCAAATGGCAGAGCTTGAAGTGTTCTAACGGCAAAATAAAGTATATTTTGCAAAGTGCTTTAAAAATAATTGGAAAATAAAAAATATTCATGATCTTCGATCAAAGTTGAAAATTGAAGAGCAAATTTCTACTTAATTTTGATGTTCAGCTATATTTAATTAATTCTCTCTGTTAAGAAACTCAGAAAGAAGATAAATTAAGCGAGTTAAGGTAATGATTATTATGTATTGTGGAAAAAATGGAGAGATGGCGCTCCTGAGGAGTTGGCGCTCCTGAGGAGTTGGCGCTCCTGAGGAGTTGGCGCTCCTGAGGAGCTGGCACTCCTGAGGAGTTAGCACTTAACAGGAGCTGGCAAGTTGTCATTTTTTTAGTTTTCCTGGAGCGCCAACTCCTCAGGAGCGCCAACTCCTCAGGAGCGCCAACTCCTCAGGAGCGCCAACTCCCCAGGAGCGCCAACTCCCCAGGAGCGCCAACTCCCCAGGAGCGCCAACTCCCCAGGAGCGCCAACTCCCCAGGAGCGCCAACTCCCCAGGAGCGCCAACTCCCCAGGAGCGCCAACTCCCCAGGAGCGCCAACAAGTCCGGAAAATTAAAAATAACTTATTTTTTTCACAGGAAGTATGCAACCCGCAACAAAAAGGCTAAATAGCCAAAATGTAGCTTGGTTCTTTGGAGAGACAACCCTTAAATTTCAAAACTTTCCCCTAGCCGTTTTTCCGCAATCGCTGAGAGATGGCGCTCCTGAGGAGTTGGCGCTTCTGAGGAGTTGGCGCTCCTGAGGAGTTGGCGCTCCTGAGGAGTTGGCGCTCCTGAGGAGCTGGCACTCCTGAGGAGTTAGCACTTAACAGGAGCTGGCAAGTTGTCATTTTTTTAGTTTTCCTGGAGCGCCAACTCCCCAGGAGCGCCAACTCCCCTGGAGCGCCAACTCCCCAGGAGCGCCAACTCCCCAGGAGCGCCAACTCCCCAGGAGCGCCAACTCCCCAGGAGCGCCAACTCCCCAGGAGCGCCAACTCCCCAGGAGCGCCAACTCCCCAGGAGCGCCAACTCCCCAGGAGCGCCAACTCCCCAGGAGCGCCAACTCCCCAGGAGCGCCAACTCCCCAGGAGCGCCAACTCCCCAGGAGCGCCAACTCCCCTGGAGCGCCAACTCCCCAGGAGCGCCAACTCCCCAGGAGCGCCAACTCCCCAGGAGCGCCAACTCCCCAGGAGCGCCAACTCCCCAGGAGCGCCAACTCCCCAGGAGCGCCAACTCCCCAGGAGCGCCAACTCCCCAGGAGCGCCAACTCCCCAGGAGCGCCAACTCCCCAGGAGCGCCAACTCCCCAGGAGCGCCAACTCCCCAGGAGCGCCAACTCCTCAGGAGCGCCAACTCCCCAGGAGCGCCAACTCCCCAGGAGCGCCAACTCCCCAGGAGCGCCAACTCCCCAGGAGCGCCAACTCCCCAGGAGCGCCAACTCCCCAGGAGCGCCAACTCCCCAGGAGCGCCAACTCCCCAGGAGCGCCAACTCCCCAGGAGCGCCAACTCCCCAGGAGCGCCAACTCCCCAGGAGCGCCAACTCCCCAGGAGCGCCAACAAGTCCGGAAAATTAAAAATAACTTATTTTTTTCACAGGAAGTATGCAACCCGCAACAAAAAGGCTAAATAGCCAAAATGTAGCTTGGTTCTTTGGAGAGACAACCCTTAAATTTCAAAACTTTCCCCTAGCCGTTTTTCCGCAATCGCTGATTTTTCCGACCCCTTCTGAGAAAACCAAAACTTTTCCGGAATAAGTTATTTTTTACTTCAATTTTCCGGAAAAGCAGCTAGTGTTGGAAAGTTAATGTTGACAAAAGAAAGATGTGAAATTTAATCAGCTTTCAGAATCACTTAAAGTTTTGTTTTTAGCTCCCATAGAAGTTGAGAAATTGACCAAAACGTGAACACCTTTTGAAAATGGCCAATTTTCCGGAAAATGCATCCGAGATCCTTCTGACCTGACTCGGAAAAATCATATCTACTACTAAATCAATTGTCATGTATTTAGCTTCACGCAGTAATGTTTTTTAGCAAAATCACTGTTTTTCAGCACTTATTCAAAATTTGAAAATTTCGAACCCTGTAAATTAGGCAAATTTGAGAATTTTCCAAAATCCTTTGAGTCTCATAGTTAACATACCTAAGGGAACCCCCATACCAAATTTTATCAAATTTGGGTGACCTTTGCTTTTTTTGTCAGGTTGGCAACGAGACAATCGCTAACAACACCTTAAGGAAACCTTTAAAAAAAATGAAAGGTCTGATTAATTTTTATGGTAATTGTTCTCTACATCAGAATTTGTTTTTTGATGTCAGTTATAGAAAGAAATTTAATAATTAGGAGAACGGAATTTTTGAAATTTGAAATTATTTCTTATGGGAATTTTCTATATAATATAATTTTTTACCTCAAAATTAGTCCGACCAAAATTGATTAAAATTTCACCAAAACACTTTCAATCCATTGTAAGAAGGAAAAATAAAATCGATAGGTCGGTTGATCATGGGAAAAGGCTGAGAAGATTTATTTACAATATAGATCGATTTCATAAGCTCCTTGTTAAAATAAAAAGTTTTGATATTTGCAGGAAGAAATTTAATTTAATTTACAATCCAAGCCAGTTTTCATTTCAAATATTTATATCAAATTTATTTTTAATCTTTGTAAATTGATGTTTTTTGTAAAAATTTTAAATTGTAATTTAAAAAAAGCATCTTCATTTACAAAAGCTTGAAATCCGTTGATTTTGGGCTGGATGTGGCGGGACGTGTGGGCGTCGTGGGCGAGATACAACAAATGCAGCCCCTCATTAAACGGCTCTGACAGCAGCAAATCCTATCTCTCTCTGTGTTTGGGAGAAAAACACGGTTGGCTCTTTCTGTGCGCATCTCTGCGGCCGGCCGAGTGTGTGATGATTCATCTCACACACACACACACACACACACGCCGGACATTTAAATATGGGTATACATAGAGAGAGAGCGGCTATCGCAAGTGGAGCAAAATTTCAAGTGCCACGTGCAGTGTGGAAAGAGACAAGTGGGCTCGTCGAGAGAGGGTTTCGAGGGCTGGCAAAAGTGGTGGTTGCGGTCCAGCCAAGAAGGAGTTTGCAATAAATGGCTGCCCGCGACCCCCATAGCCCTTACACGAATTTTGTTTTCCCATTAAATTTTCGTTCTCAAACTTGTGAATATTTCATTATATTGCTTCGAGTTGAAAGCTGTGGAAAGGAAATTTATATTTTTTCGCTCAAATTTATTGTTACCTTTATATATGACGTGTTTTTTTATTAGAAATCCTGTAAGGATTAATTTAAAAAGTCCAATTTTTTGCTGAAATTTTAAAACCAATAATATTTCTATGATACTTTAAAAAAGTCTAACATTTAAGTAGGAAAAGCTCAAGTTTCCCTCATTTCCGACAGCTAAATTTTGCGTTTATATCCTTTGAAGGGAAGGAATTTTAATTACATTTAAAGCTCTCATTTTAAACGATCTCTTTACACGCTGCTTTGAGATTAAGAGCAGAGGCGTCTTTGCGTCTCGCGATTTAATTATGCAAAAGGCACTCAAGGGGTGACGCGTCCGGCAGCACATGAAACGCGCCCAGATTTGCTGGGATTTTGCGCTCAAATTCCAGCCTCTGCTGATTTGTTATGCGCAACAGGCGCCGATGGATGTAAATTTTTCTCCGGCCCGACAAAGGCGGATTCAATTAAAATTGTGGTTTAACTTGGTCGTCGTCTCCCTCGCTTTGCATTTTCGGGCGAAAATTTTGCATTCAGCTCAGCGCCAGTTTGCGGACCAAACAAATCCGTGGTAATGACGGCAATTTCGGACAAACTCTCTCAATTTGAGAGGCAAAAGTTTTGTAAAACATTCAAAATTTATAAATAAACTGCCTCGTTTTTAGATAGGATGAAATCAAATCAGGACAGCAAAAAACACTAATAATTTAGTTGCAAATTGTTTCTATTTATCTATCACAAAGGCATGCAATTAATTCAATTAATAATTTAGGCCTTAACGATCAATTTGATAAGCAAAAAACATTGTGATCCTATTAAAAAAAGTAAGTTTCATACACCTTTAAAAATGTCAAATTTCATTATTTTATCTCTTCACTATTTCAAATCCATTTTACGGCGTCAACTAGAGACTTGTAACTTTTAATGCAGGGAAAATTACTACCCTTTAATTACATAGATCAACCTTAATTACATACTCTATTCCTTGTATCACCGTGTTAGTGCATTTTCATGTTATAAAAGCACTCTTTTCTATTTGCCGAGGCGATCATTTGGTTCTCGCATATATCGTGAAACGGTCTAGCTCGGCGCTCTCCTGCTTTTATTCCGTTACGAAGCTTTTGTATGGCTCGTTAACTTCACGCAAAGGTAGCTCAAAGAACGCGCAGAGTCGTAAATCGTGTTCTACAAAATCAAATGCCCTTTGCAGAAGACCAGCGCCGAGTCTAATTTACGGCCCGCCTGCATCTGAAGCGACTCTCTCGGCGTCGTGTTCGCGGCGAGCGAGAGAAACTCTCTCACGCTTTGTGGAGGGATGGCTAATTAACCTAATTAGAATTGATACAAGCCTGGCCAACGTCGCCGCGCAGTTCAAAACTCAAAACTTGATTAGCATATATGCAAAAAGTTGCCAAGTTCCGCGCTAATTCCGAACAAAAAGTTTCTCTGCAGCAAAGGCAACCGTCAAACGTATCAAAATCAAAAGTTTACGCAAAGCAAACAAACGGCTCATGGAAGAATTTTCGAAATTAATTGCGTAAAAGTGAAAGTTCAGAATTACAGAGAGATAAATTTATTTAGTAGATTTAGTGTCAATTTTGACAGAAATCACAGAACTTTTTAGAAATAAAAATTTATATTTTTGCTTAAACAAGTTTTCTGTGAACCATGAATTTGCCTCAAATGAGCTACAATTTCTTGGTAACATATATGAAAATTTAATTTAAATTTTGTTCTTTGAATCGTTTTATATTCAAATTAATATAATTGAGCTTAACAATTTGATGCAATAGGAACTTTGTGAACCCTCAAAAAGAGAATTTTGTAAACGCCGTAGCAATTAAGTGCGAAAAAAATATAGATAATTGCGCATGAGAACGAGAACGCATGAGCAAGGTACCTTTTTTATATGCGTTTGCACGTGTCGTGGTTCTTTCGCGGTCTTTGGTAGTAAAATAAGCCCCTCCCCTAATTCTCCCGGAGGGGGAAAAAGGTGGTGAGAACAGCTGAAAAAGGTAAACAAGAGTCTGTGTGAAGATGTTTGGTGAGTTGTGCCGACTTTGCGAGCGTCCGGCGGCCGACGGCGGCCACCGAGCGGCCGAATTGGACAAGGACAAGTTGGCCGAGTGGTGTTTGAATTTCTTGGGCACGACTTTGGCCGGCCAAATCGACGACCAAGACCTCTTCTGCTACTTCTGCGTCTGGGACGCCAGGTAAATATAAAATTATTGAATTGTGTTTATTCAAAGGATTACATTTCATTATCCCCTCGTGCCTTGTGTATTTTGAAAATAAACTATCAAATTCTTTTTTAAGCATTATTTTTAGTTTGAAGCAAGGCTTGCTTACAAATTTATTTTGCAGGTTTTACCACAGCAAGTCCATTATTAATGCATTAAATTATGAAGAGAGCGATAAACAAGACTTTTGCTGGTGGCCAGAAAAAGACGCTGACAAAAATGCGCAGGACCTGTACAAAAGCTATGCCGGTGAGAAGAAATTTTTCAATTTATACAGTTTAAAAAAAAAATAAATTGGAAACATGATTTTAGCTGGGAATGTGCGGCAGTGTTGGGTTTCTCTGGAAAAATTGCCAAGTGAGGAAAATGCAAGTGCCGATGCTGGAGAAAACGCTAAATTAAGGCTAGGCAAAAATTGCTGCTATTGTGGAAAAAACAATATTCCTGATTGGAATTGGGCTAAACATATGCAGAAGAATCATGCAGATGTAGCAATTAGATGCAATTATCTTAATAATTGCAGCAAATACTTTAAAACTGTCGAGGAGAGAGACGCTCATGTAAACGAAGTTCATTTGAAGCCGAAGGTAGAAATTCTTTCCGACTGCATTTATTGTCCTATGAAAGGTTTTAAAAGGAAGCGTCTATGTAAACATGTTAAAGCAAAGCATCGTGATGTGTCAATTAGGTGCAGTTATCAAAAATGTGCCTTGTATTTTAAAACTCTGGCTGAGATGGACTTGCATTTTGAGGCAAAACACAATAGTAGGGAGAAAAAGAAAAATTTTAAATGCTCAATCTGCGATTATAAAGCCATTGATAGGAGATCAATTGAAAATCATGAGGCAAAGAATCATGAAGTGTTAAAAACTATCAAATGTCTGATGTGTCCCAAAATTTTCGCAAGTAAAATTGATTTGCGAACTCACTTGAATCACACTCACAACTTTAGAAAATGCCCTGCTTGCAATCTAAGAATAAAAATTTCCAATTACTTCACACATTTTACAAAACGCTATTGCAGAAAATGCAAAGCTAGTTTTGATTGTTTGGAATTGCTCAGAAAGCATGAGAAAAATTGCAAACCTGAATTTAAATGTGAGCTCTGCTTGAAAAGTTTTATAAACAAATCTCAGTTGAAATACCACATGAACAGGAAGCATTTCATTCAGAATGTACGGTTTTCAAAATCCATTAAAAGTTTAAATTTTCGCAAATCGAATAAAATCAAATTAAAGTGTGCTCACTGCAGCAAGGAACTTTCTGAAAAACGATTCATTGAGAGGCACTTGGCACAAGTCCACAATCTGATTGAGAGAAAACATTGCTGCGTTCAATGCTCGGCTAAATTTTATGTTACCACTGAACTGAAATACCACATTCGCAAGGTGCACTTAAATGAGAAAGCAAAATGTGAAATTTGCAACAAAGAAATTGCCTTTAAATCTTTAAGAAATCACATGATTACCATTCATTGTGTGAACATGTAACTAATGTAAATGGAGAGCTAGAAATGTTTTTCTATTAAAAATAAGAATTATAGCATATCCTCGTATGTGTTTTGTTTTGAGGTTTATACTTCTTAATTTTTTTATTTACTTCAAATATATTTTGTGTTATTCAAGATTGCAAAATATATTTTGCAAATTGTTTAAGATTTAACTTATGCGAACTTTTGAAAGCAAATGTAAATTTTAATTGTGCATTAAAACTATTTTTCCCTAATGACGCATTTAATTTGTGAAATAATGAAACAACAATAATAATTATTAGAATGGTATTTATTCTGAAAATTTAAATTGTGAGCTAAAGTTAGTTATATTATTCGAACTTGACTGAGAATTGCACTGCCTCTTTTTTTCTGACAATGCACAGAGAACGTGTTTGTTTTGAAAGCGCGCGTTTCAGTGAAAACCGCACACACCATCTGTAGCTCTATCGCGAATCTGCAACAGATTGTGGCGCGGTCGGTGTGAATTCCGCATGCCCCCGTAATTATACACACACGTTCCGAGCAAAATTTGTTTATGCATAAATCTGGTTAAAGCTGGCGCCGCTAATTAATAATGAAATACGCAACTTTTGCTGAGAACGCGCCCCGATGCTTATCTCTGCAATATGAAAATGAGCAGTTCTAATTATTAACCCTTTCGTCAGCGTTTTAAGATTTCCAGCTCTTCGCGCTTTAAAATTACGGCCAATTGCTTTTAATTTTACGATGTGTGATGAGCGAAAAATTTCCTATTAGCATTATTTTCGCTCTTCATTTAACTTGCTTGACCTTAATCTGACGATGTATAGAAACTACTTTCATATCCAGCGATCCTCTCATCACAAAAGTTATAAATTTACTTTATCTTTCATAATTTGTTCACAGGAATTTTCAATTATAAACTTATGTCTAAAAATTAATATTATAATTTAATCTTTCTTAAATATTATGTAATTAATAATTTTGTTTAAACAATTCAGTGAAGCTTTTGGAACAAACAAAAAAATGGTCTGAATAATTTCGATTTTAATTTTTTGCTGAATTTATTTTGGCTAATTTTAATTGAAATTCCAAGGAGACTTCATAAGAAAAGTTTAATTCATGAGGAGAACTGAATATTTTAAAATTATTTAACATTGTTTTTTGTTAGAATTTTCTAAAATAATTTTCGTCCTCAACATTTTTCTGACAAAAATTGATTAAAAAAATTCATAAAATCACCCCAATGAAGATAGAAATATTGAATTAATTTGTCAGTCAACTAAAAAATTTAAAATTTACAATGATCTTATGGGTAAAGGCTCAGTGTAAATTTATTCTCAGTGTAATCTCCTCATTGCAGTGCTAAAAGAATTGAAACTTAATTATTTCATCGAACGAGATCCTCTCAAAAGAGGTTTTAAATTTGACTTGTAATATATCATGTTTCTTCAAAGAAATTAAAACTTAGTCTATAAATTATTAACTTGTATTAATTTTTTTCGTCACTTTTTAAACTTTAAAGAACCCATAAGTAATTATTTTATCTCAATCACTTGCCATTTAAGACAAAAAGTTTGTCTCTTCTGCAAGCACTTCTAAAAATAGTGGCTGTGGAAAAAAACATCCCTTATTTTTTTTGTCAGCGGGCGCGTGTAATCCTCAGAATAATACGATAAGGCGAATATTTAGCCTTTCAACCGAGCACATAACTCTGTGCGGGGGATGATGAATGTGCGTTGCGCCCCGAATAAAGAATGGATGAGCGCGAGAGTTGCTGCGGAGCTACTTCTGTCGTCTGGCATCATCATTTTTATCGCGCCAGCTCGTGTCTTCATTTTTGCAGTGTTTATGGAAGAAGCAGAAGAAGGGGTGGCGCCGAATTTGTATGCACACCCTCCAGAGAGGGCACACCACATTTTTCAAAATGACTCGGAAAGAAATTTAACACTGCATTAGCCGTCCCAGTGCACGGGATGTGACACCCTGAAAAATAATGCCGCACACTCTCGCCTGTGACGTCAGCAAAAAGTTATACACTTTGCTTCAAAAACTTGTGCACGCGAAAATGATGGATTAGCCCAAAATTATTTCCCTGCTTCAAACTTCGGACTTTGGCAATTAAATAAGATAATAAAGTTTATGCTTTTTTTTGCCTTTTTCAAAAACCAATCTAACCGCAGTCTTAGAATTGTTACGGGTTGCTGGATTTGAATGAAACTTGGCATGGTGCCACCCTTAAGATAGTTGGTCAACCTTAGGTATTTAGTCAATTCAATTTCCCAATATTGCCTACTTTACAGGGGCTCAAAGTAGCGATTTTTTGCAAAATTAGTCTTTAATCTCAATTATCACGGCTTCTACTCGAGCAATTTTAAAAAAAACTTGACGCCGTTTAAAAGCCAGTCAAACGGACTTCAATTCGACCGTAGAGTCAAGGTCACAGGTCAAAGTTCAAGGTCACTTAAATTTTGACGAAATTTAAAAAACCCCACCAAATATTGAATTGAAGGATCAAAAGTATTTACATTTTTTCTACAGAAAAAGTGTTCCAGAACTTCCAAATTTAATTTTATATCAGTGAAAAAATTTTGGTGTTCCAAATTTTCATAGTTATTGAGACATCCACAGAAAAAAACCGTTTTTTTGCCCTTGTCATCAAATTTTCTTAATTATGATTATATTTTTGAATTAAATTAAATAAAGAATAAAAACTCTCAATCGTGCCACAGATTGGTTTTTCACCCTTGAATCTTCAACGTTGCACGTCCAAATTTAAAAGTAGAATCCAATTTGGAAAAAGTGCGACGCTTTTTCGGTTGTACAGATATTTTCCAATTTGCAGATATGCGAGCATGCACTCTGCGAAAATGGCATTTGCATGTATATCAGTCATTCGTGCGTGGGGCGAAAAAAGTGTGTCTCCTTAATGCGATTGAAAAGACATGTTTATATATTCGCAGCGCCAGTTTTTCACTTGGCCCCCGGAGAATTTATTCTTGTCAAATTGATTCAATGTGAAAATAATTTTGCCTCGGCGCGCACTTATTTATACATGGTGCCGCCTGAAAAGTTTTTCCGCCGTTGTATTGCACGCTTCACTTGATCCCATATTCACAATTCAGCCTCTCTCCCGACGTTCTGAGAAAGAAATGGCCATCATTTCATCATCTCCTGTGATGCATGAGCCTCTTTTCAAATATGCGCGTCCACTCCGGAAAAAAGGTGCAAGCGAATTCAATATTGCATATCACGCATGTAAAGCAAAATATATTTATATATTTCCATCCGTTTTTCAAAAGGAAAAACTAGCATCACATATTCCACAATGCACTGAACACATGGAAATAAACAGATTCATCTGATTTTTCCTTAATTTTTCTAAATAAAAAAAAAACTAATTTTATGAATTTTATTTCTTTAAAAATGCATAGTTTTGTCTACATTTATAATGCTTGAAATTCTCTAAATGCTTTTTTATAATTATTTAATTTCTTAACTTAAATAAGGTACTTAATTTAAAATTTACCATCAGCAAATAATAATTTAATATATTCATAATAAATCCGTTAATTTGTTTGCAATGAAATTTTCTCCTGCCAAAATGGAAACATAAATTTGCTCTTTATTATTTTTGTTTATTTCTTCACAGTTAAAATGTAAATTTATTTTCAGAACACACAAGCGGACTTTAATTTCGGGCCGAAATAAATTACAAGGTGGAAATTGGATGAAAGACGATAACGCGTGTGGCAAACAATGGCGAGGACTTCAAAAGAGCTGCCACACGATATGGCGGCGGCGCTAATAAAAGGGTCAGAGTTATTATAATAATACGGGGGACGAGAGAGAGAGAGATGAGATAACTCTTGGTGCGCGAACGAAAGGGTAGTTTCGCTCGACACGACGCGGCGAGGACGTGCAAGTGCAGAAATGTGAGCAGTCAGGAGCAGGTGACGCGCCCGGCCCGGCCTGGCCCGGCCCGCCTCGCACGTGCACAAAATACACATGAAAGCCGCCGAGGGCTGACCGCATGTCGCGATTTCGCATCGAACTTTGCCCCCGAAAAATGGCTCTCAGCAGAATCTCCACTTGAGCTATTATTTTATTGGTCCAGACGGAAATCAATTTTGTTTCTGTGTTGCTTTTTTATCGGCAAATTTTTCAAATTTAAATTAAGCTTTTAACTGGGGACATTTTTAAAAAAAAGAAAAGAACTGAAATTTTACTTTTAAAGATCAAGCGTACATTTTTACAATAAAATTCGCGTTTTAGAAAACCATGTGGCGAAAAATTTGAACAAAAAGAAACTTGGCGATGAAGAAAACAGGATTTTTCATCGCTGGAAAAATTGGTTTTTATTTGATTAACAAACTAATTTCATCAGAGAGAGGCAAAAAATGACAAAAATTGAAAAACCCGCGTTTATTAACAGTTTTTATAATCTTAATTTTCATTTGAATGGCTCATCTATTTCAAGGTTCTTCTTTATAAACAAAAATAACTTTTCAGGTTTTAAGAAATTTTTATCAAAAAGATTGCGAAATGCAAAATTCTTCAATACGCTTAAGTTTGATTTAATTGCCCGCACGAATTTAAATTTAGCATTTAGCATTTTGGTATCTCTTTCGAGTGTGCCGAGTTGATTGGGGAGGAGTAATTTTAATCTGGAAGCGGGTCTCGCCACCTCAAATAGCGGAAACGGTTGGGGGCAGAAGTGGCTCGTGGCCCTGCTCACCGCGCCCGTGTCACGCTTAAATAGCTTGGGCAAACTCGATTACACCCTCCCTGCTCCACCTGCCCGTCTGTCTGTCTGTCATCGCGCGTATGTAATCAGAACTCGGCCGGCAACCCTTGCTACAATACCTGTGGGACACCCACGACCTTTCGCTTGTGAAATTGAGCGTGGCTAGTTGTCAAGCGACTTGATTTTGCGGCCGAAGGGATTCACTCTCGTCTCGGCTCTTCTTGCGACGATTTGAAGTCTATAGAAATGATGAGTTGCCGTTATTGAGCAGAAATTTATTTGCCACAAAATATTAATCGGAAAATATTTTTTTTGTTTTAGAAATTCTCATTGCCAAGAAATCATGTTTCGAAAATAAGAAAAACAAAGGTTAGAAATTTATTTATTCTTATTAATGCTTAAATGAGGTCTGATTGTGAGGCAAGCGTAAAATTTTTAAAATTATACCAGCAATTTTTCATATTTTTTTATTTTTATCAAAAATCATTCATTTTTTAGGCTTTTGCTTTAGATATAAAGATGA